CGGTATTAAAATATCTGGGGATGTTTCTTACCTTTACGCAGGAGTTTTATACTGCCACCCCTGACAGAATCCTGCATAGTTTATGTAGGGTCAGCATGGAAAAAATCCTGCGTAAAGATAAGAAACATCGAAGACTTTTTGGCTTATTCAATTCACAAGTTTTTTCCTACGAGATCCATGGCAGAATATGGTTGGTTGAAAGAAAAACAATTTTGTTCTCCCTGTCTATTCTGTGGTATCCAGCAAACTTTTCTCACAAATGTCTTTCCAGGGTGATCGTGGAGGAATTTGTCTGTATTTTGTTTTTGGAAAGTCACTTTTTTCTTATAAAGTTATAAAACTTTTTCTCGTGTCCAATAAACTTCTAGAAAACGTATACCTTAATACTTTGACTTTAAGACGCATTTTCAACACCAAACTATTAATATATAGCTGAAAAGATCTTTTTTATGTCAGGAATATTCTATTTTTTTCCATCAATAAGAAATTAAAATCATTAGAATGATCCGGCTACTGTGAAAAAAAGATGTATAGCAAAGCAGAGATATCAGCCTATTCTAAATTTCTTCAGCTTTGAATGGTATCCTCTCGTTTCGTCTCATATCTTTTAATTAGCTCTCGTTTTGTCTCATGTCGTCCCCTCTCGTTTCGTCCTGTCTTTATTTTCTAGCATTCTATTCATTTTATGACTATTCATTTTTTTCTGTCAACTGTGTACTGATTAATATTAATATAATTCATTAAGATAACGTAAGAAACTGATACATGGCATATTCATAGGTTGATACGTATCAATATGGACTAGTTCGTTTTTCTAAACCTGGATCAATAGCAATTTAATTTTAACGAAGTCATTTTGTATACTCCATGATAGAATTTAAGTGTTTAATGGAAAAGCTTTTGCAAAGAAACAATACTCATAAATGAAACAAAAGCAAGGATCTGACGAAATGAGAGGGTGAAAGTTTACAACAACTGTGATAATAAATTGAAGGAATATTTTACACGATATAAAAATGGTACTTTGTCTGGAACTGAACTTGCAATTAAATGTGACAAATGTGTTAATACTTTAAAATTACCTGTTTCATTGTAACTCGTAAATAAAATAATAAATGTAACTTATAAAGCCATCTATCAATTTCTTACATTATCTTAATGAATTATATTAATATTGATTAGTATACAGTTGATAGAAAAAAAAATGAATAGTTATAAAATGACTAGAATGCTAGAAAATAAACGGAACGAAACAAGTATGGGACGAAATGGTATCGTCCCGATTCGTCGACAAATCGGACACTTCAGAGAATATACATCAAAGAATTTCAAAGGCGGGAGGGGCGGTGTGAGAGTGAGTGTCGACGAATCGGGACTGAATCGACGAAATGAGAGTAATCCCTTTGAATATAGTGGTGGCGCCACAGGGGGGCTGGCGGGGGCTGAGCCCCCTCAGATTTAAACAACATGTCATTTTTTAGTTACATCAAACATTCAGTAGTAATTTAGTACAAATACAATAGTCGAAAAAACTTCCGAGATGGGAGGGAGGTCATATAGAATGGCAGTGGCTGAGCCCCCTCAGATGAAAACTTCTGGCGCCGCCTCTATTTGAATACTCTGTTGAATCGTATATAATTTAAAAACTTCGGTAAAACATCGATAAGTTATAGTTAAAAATATTAAGGTATACATTTCCGGAAGTTTATTCGACACGCGAAAAGCTTGTATAACTTTATAAGAAAAGATGCAGAAGTACTTAACTTGCCAAAAATAAAAAATACAGACAAGTTCCTCCACAGACAAGTTCACCCTGCACAGACATTGATGAGAAAAGATTGCAGAATGCCGCAAGGTAGACATGGCGGACAAAATCCACAAGCTATAAGTCATGAAAAAATCCTACAGACCTTGCAGGGTTTGCGTATTGCGATATCTTGTGTATTACAAGTGATAACAGGAAGGAAAAAATTCTGCAGGCTATCTAAAGTGAAGCATCTGCGAGATATATCGCATGAACGCATGTAAAAGTTCCTGTATGGTGTGCCTAGAGAAGAATCCTCCAGAATCCTGCAGAAAAGAAACTTGAAAAGTGAGCGTGTTAAAGAATCCTGCTCAATTATACTCACCAACTTGCAGGAAAATTTTCGGCGAGGTAACATGATGTAAAAACTTGCAGTATATATCCAATACTCACAGGATTTTTTCAGATTGCTGCGTGTCAACGCAGGAATTCGTAAATTTTTTTTCAGTGGGCATTCGAGGCTATAGTAATATTTTTCATTGAATAGATTTTGTCCACCGGTGTGTTTTTTTATATAAAGTCTACTTAGCGTCAAAGACAAGTAAAACACAGAAACAGTATGTAAGGACTTGTGTAAACACTCACAATAAACAACTTATTGTTTATTGTTTAATTTTTTCTTATTTCATTTTACCTATCAATCTGTGTACATGATGTTTTTTACAATTTGTATTTATTATAATCATAGTCACTGTAATTTTTCATCCATTTTGTTACATTTAAAATGTTTTTGTGAAATAAAGAGGATAAATATATGTTATGAATTACTGTACTTTGTTACCTATGAAGTCTGTCGAGACTTGAAACATTAAACGACAAAAGAAAAGGCTTGTCCGGGACTGCCTAAACCTGACGGACTTCGAGGTTAAGAATGCTCTCAAATGTTGTTGTTTATAATTTACATTTTGAAAGATGCATTGCTCATTTACCTGCTTATTTATTAAAAAAGGTAGAAAAAAAGAAAACAAAAATTATTATACTATTTTCCATCACCATCAGTCAATTCAGTTAACTTGAAAAATCTTATAAACAAAAAAAAGACAAAATTTCCTTGACGCATAATTTAGCGGTTCTGGAAAAAAGTGATTATGACTGCTCTATAGCTGTATGGTTCTATTCATGGAGAACTAATGTATTCTCAAAAGAAATTAACTTGCTTTTACGATACAGCTTCTTGTTTCAAGGCCTAAACACAGAAGGTAAAGCTGATATTTACACTTATTTTTATAAAGCTGTAGCTCATTACTTGTCCAAAAGCCCATCATCGGCACCTATTTTAAATTGGAAAAGCATTGAACATACTCATTTTAAGAAATTTAAACCGCTTTGCGTTTTGTATTTTGATTGGTACAAAGACGATAAGGTCAAACAGTGTCTGTTCATTTGGTGATTATTAATTAGATCTTACTTTAACCTTATCTCGTGCTCACTTAACAAGTATTTTAACTTCTGTAAACTTACTGATTCTAGAAAACGTTGAGAACCGAGTTACCAAATAAAATCCCTTGCTTTAAATATAACACCATTGACTGTTTAAAGAGTCGTCTTCGTATTATTCGGATAACTGGTATTAAAAACTTCAGCAAAGCTGAAAAAAATGACTTATTGCATTTTAGAAATTCGATATGGAGTTTCCAGAATCTTGGAAATTATTTAAATCGATCGATTTTCTAGAATTCAAAAGCTGACAGTCTCGCTCATAACCGAAGACTTTCACATACGTTTGCTCTACTTGCACGACTCTCTCTATTTCCGTATTGAAAAAAATATCCCTTTCTCATTCGCCTGAACAATGTGATCATCATTCTTTTAGAGAAAAATCAAAGTTGTTCAGTTTATTTTCTCAAAATCATGTGCCTATTGTATTTTTTTTAAAAGAAATCTAACTTTCAATGAACGAAAATTTCGAACCCAATGGAATTTATTTACTCTTTATAAATTATTAAGTATAAGCAAATATTTTTCGACCTGTTATCATATATGAGATTCAGAATGAAAGAGTTACTTGTAAATGTTATAGCGAGAGAAACAAATCTAATCTAATGGCTGATGAATATCCAAATAATAGTGATGTATAATTAATCTAACCCACTTAGACATTATATTCCTAAAAAATAAATAACTTTTCAACTTTTTTCAATGTAGAATTACAAACACATCATGCAATTTCATTTTACATTATAATGAAGCGTAGTAGTTTAAACAGTTATGGTAAAAAATGTATTTCATATCATCTTTTCAGTCAGACATCTTTGCATCTACGCAAAATGTCATTGAGCTATTTATTTCGATAAAAGATACACACATATACTGTAATACAGTACAAAAATACATCGTACTTATTCAATTCTTCAATCACAATTTCTACAGGAAATATCGTTTGAATAACAAGAAAATTACTGACTTGAATATAAAAAAATATGATACACAGCAAACTAACAAAATAATAATAAGATGTTAAGTAAATATAACTAATCTGAATGGTTCCAGTCATGTTTAATTTCAATTTAAGTTGCACAAGGTTATAGAAAACGAAATGTCTCTGATTAGGTAAAGCGAAATTAAATGCCTTTTTTAATTAACTGTGGATCATAGAAATTTTAAAAGAAACTGTTTGAAAATGTTATAAACTGCATATTGTGACGTCATCTCTTAACACCTGTTAGACGGAAAACGAAAAAAGTCGTTTTTATGGAAAGTACGAAAATTCCGTCAGAAAGACGGAATTTTCGTACTTTTCATAAAAACGACTTTTTTCGTTTCCTGTCTAAAAGGTGTTAAGATCACAATCGGAAGAATGGGAGAGCAAGACATTAAGGATAGAGTTTAACAATCTTACATGTAAGGATAGAGAAAATAATCTATTTTGGATAGGTTCGATTTAGTGCTTCTTAAATTTAACAATGAGTATTTATCAAATCGTTTATACGTACAATAAACAAGCATTAAATAGATAAAAATAAAACATTTTTATTCTTTTTACATGCATAAACAACCAAACATATGTGAATAATTACAGAATGACAAGAGTTAAAAAATAAATACAGAAAAAAATAAAAAAAAATATCAAGTAGTCTCATTCATTGTAAATATGAAATAAAGCGAAAAGAAAAACACTACACACACACACACTATCACATATGATAAAGACTAAAAGAATATGAAAGGATATGAATGACTTGTTAATTGGATTAAGTTAAGCGACAAATAGTGAATTTGTTGACGATTGTTGTTGTAATTTGCTACCAGTACCAACACGCGTTGAACCATCTTTGTTATAAATCAAACGTAAAAAACCTAAATACAAACAAAGAGAGAAATAAATCTCTTGTCCTTTCTTTTGTGTTCATAAAAGTTTTATTGCGTTGTACATTCCTAATAATTTTTCGAAGTGACTTTGTTTTTAGTTTTAGGTCTATTACTTAACGAGTGGAACTGAAGGCGCCAACCTTTCGACGTTTTCTAGTTTTCTCCTCTCTATTAGTCTCTCCCTTGACTTCATTTTGTTTTTTTTGCAAAAAAGATTCGCCATTTCATTCTCCACAAAAAAAAACATATTGAATATTTTTGTACAATCTTGCGAACCTTCAACATTTTACAACATAGTGTTTTCAATTATATTGTGTGATCCAGAATAAATGGGCTCTCCTCGTCTTTGGCTTATAATTTTTTTTTCTTTTCAATCTTTAGATCTGAGTGTTTTTCCAAAAGGTGCGCCATCAAATTCTCTACAAGATCTGATCAAACTTATTTCTATAGAAAGTTCAGAAGAAAAATTAAACGAAGAATATCCAACATGATGAAACGGACCAACTTTCTAAGCTGAAAAAATGTTTTGTTCAACCACTTTCATTGAGCTGGATGATGAAAAGAAGAGAATATATACGCATTTTGTAGCACTTGAAAAGCCCTATCAACTAGTATCAGATGCACAAATACAAAATCAATCTTTGATGCTTACATCGATTTTTTCCTCTTTGAGGCTTTACAAAATTCAGCTCTTTGAATGTGGAGATTCGAAGCTCCTAGAAAATGCTGTATAACGAAGCCAAAATAGCACCCTTTTAGCTTGGTCTTTTTTTATTTTGTTGAGAAATCACATCTGTACCAGATTTAGCGGCGAAAGTTATCTTAAAACTTTCTTCATAAATTCACTTGCAGATTTTGGTCACTTTGAGGTAAATTTTGAAATGTTAGATTTTTGAGTGCTCACTTAGATTTGAACGAGCTGTGAACTGCATAAGGAGGAAGAGCATACTTCAAAGTACTCATAAATATCTTCATATTTGTTTCATTGTCTTTAGCGTTTACTTAAAATATTCCAAAATTTGTAAAACAAAATAGCTTAGAAAGTCGGTCCATTTCATCATGTTGAGTAGTCTTCGTTTAATTTTTCTCCTTAACATTCTATAGACATATGTTTGATCAAGTCTTGTAGAGAATTTGACGACGCATCTTTTGGAAAACCAATCAGGTATAAGGATTGAAAAGAAAAAAGAATTATAAGCAAAATACGGGGTGGGCCATTTATTCTCGGCCACCCGATATTGTGAGCTATCCATGTCGACGAAATCACCTAACTTTTACCGATTAATCGACGATTTTTTTAGCTTGTTACTTTGAAAACACAGCAGAAAAATGGCGATTAATTATCCTTTTGAGTCAAAATCGTGATTAATCAGCAAAAGTTAGGCGATTTCGTTGACATGGGTATACAACAGAGAAGACAGACATTTTGTAGCCTTTGAAAAGCTATGTCAATGGATTATATTTAAAATTCTTTATAATTACAAGTGGTTGAAGCAGAGAGTTTTTTTCTTCGATTGATTTCGTTAGAAATCATCGTTTTCAAACTAGAATTTTTCGAGCTGTTAGAAAATTTTTTAATTCTTGTTCAAAATCCAACATTTTGAGACTGAGTTTGTTCTATCTGAAAGTAGAATAATTCTTCTTTTATATCCGAACAGAGAGACAGTTGAATAGTTCCGTTACTTTTTCTACAACAAGGCAAAAAAGTCAAATTCCTTCTTTTTCTGATGAATTTTTTGATAAAATCGTCTTTTGTTTTGCAGAACACGTTCAAACCGAATAGATGATACACAAAAAGAAAGACGACATTCCGAAATACCTTCAATTTTACTTCTTTTTTTGTATACGTCTGTGTTCAAACTAATTTTTATTTTGTTATGTTTCCAGTTAGAAAATATTGAAGGCTCCCAGTATTATACAAAAATGTTCAATATGTTTTTTATTCTGTAGAGAATGAAATGGTGAATCTTTTGCAAAAAGAAAGAAAATAAAGTCAAGGAAGAAACTAATAGAGAGGAGAAAACTAGAAAATATCGAGAGATTAACGTCTTCTGTTCCACTCATTTGTGTGTTTATACCACTTATTCTTTACCTTCTGTATCTTCTATTGTTTTAGCATTTTTCAACATAACAGTATCGACAACTTCATTAGCATCGACTCTCGTGGCATGTAAACGACGTTGAATATCGCCAAATTCTTCGATGTAAGGAGCCTAAATAAAGTCAAAGTGCGATTTTCAAGAGAAAATTAGATTATTAAAATAATTGCTTACTCTTCTAGATTTGATCACTTTTCGTATACTATCCATACTGTGGATACTATCATCACTGGCTTGTCTAAACAGATGTATAATTGACGTTAAAATTTTAACCGTTAGAAAGAGTAAAAAGAGAAGCAATTTTTTCGTTCAAATATGAGAGACGTCTACTTTAGTATTTTTGTTTACCAGAGAGAATTGAAAGAAAATTAACAATTTGTTATGCAATTATTTTTAGTTTATGAAACTTTTGTCAACAAGCATTTGTTCAATTTATTTGCAAGAAAACAACAAAATGTATTAGATTTAAAAAGTTAAAGAATAAATTTTTATTTCAAGCAAACAAGCAAGCAGAAGCAAAGCAACATAAACATAGCATAACGGGTGTCTACACACCATTCTATATTTCATCAAATTAGTTTAGAATAAGCATTATCCTCAAACACTCAAACATATTTACCCATGAATATTAGGGTCCGAATGAGAATTATGTAAATGACGTGATTCATTTCTCAGTGAACCTATAGCCGAATAGCTAACAGAAGGAAAAAAAATATTGAATAAACATTAAAAAAACACAAGCAAAACCTATTCAAATGAAAATAATTTTTAGTTTCTACAACTTATAATTGAAATTTTGCATTAAAAAAGAAATACATTTTAGTATCTAATTTAAGGTATCTCTCCTCAAATTTGAGTCTTGTCGAATAAAATGTTGTCAAGACATAAACTAAGAATTAAACCTACTACGTTTTTCCAGCATCAACTGAAAAATCAGTTGAACATCTGTTCCTTTATGACACAAGTCTCTCCCGGATGTAATAGAAGAAACTGTACTCTATGTATTTTCGATTTTCCTTAAACTCCTTGTAACTAGTTTTTTTCCCCAAAAGATAGCTCGATCAATACTCTAAAACATGATATATGAAATGTTGCAAAACTACTTTTAGATATATTTGTTTTAAAAGACAAAGACTTTCAAAATGTGGTTAAAAGATGATGGATCAACAAAAATATGTTGTGAATAGAACGGTGCCGTTCCGCTTCGGATAGTTAATGTGTGAATTAAAATGATCGAGTATACTGGTGATATCTGTTTGTCAAAATTTCCTAGTTGCTAACGCACGGTTTGAACAAAAGCGAATATTCAGAAAGAAACAGCGATTGAACAGGTTATCCAATGTGAAAATTTGACTCGTTTTGCTGATGGTGATGGTGGGTTTTTGAATGGAAAACAGATCATTGCGCAATATTCGACGGGCACATGTTCATTTCTTTTCCCAATTTTCTTGTTGACACGTCCTTTTTCTTGTTCAATCGCTGTTTCTTTCTGAATATTCGTTTTTGTTTTAACTGTGCGTTAGCATTCAGGAGATTTTGACAAACAGATATCACCAGTAGACTCGATCATTTTAATCCATAGATTAACTATCCGAAGTGGAACGGCACCATTCAGTTCACGAAATTTTGAAGATCTTTATCTTTTATTTTAAATAACAAAATCATTCATATCGTTTCACTATGATCTTCCGATAACTTGATCCGATCGACTTCAAAATTTTATTACAAATACTAGATAATATTCCAGAAGTGTAGATTTTTTATTCCATTATCTTTTCTTTTCGAGTGAGAGAAGTTTTAAAATTAAAAAAACCTGGATATTGAGACATTTTCAGTAGCTTTGCTATAATTCGAAAAGAAAAGATAAAAAAATCTCTAGTAGTTATGGTTAAATTTTGATACAAATCAGAACAAGTTATCGAGAAGTCGTAGTGGAATAATATGAATAGCTAGAGTCTTATGATACAAAGGAAAAAAGATATTTCTAACCAGTTATGAAAAGGAGAAGGCTTATATTTGACAACATTTTTATCGAAAGACGCAATTGAAAAGAGGAATACTTCTAAGGGAAACGAAGGTTAACTATGCATTTGGGAATAATGTTAATTCATAGATCGTAGTACAGAACTTTACAAACTATATGATCTTTCGTTCTCATACATCAAAAAATATTCAGAATTATGAGAATGTTGAAAATTATTATTCATCCTCAATATTTTCGTCTTTAATAATAATCCATCAGTTTAATCAGTCATATACACATTTTTTTCCACTTACAAATCTCATTTATAATAAATTTTTAGAATTTCTTTTCCACTACACAAAGTTTCTACAGATATTTTTGTTATAATTCAACAATTCTAAACAAACTGTAATAAGCAAAACGACTACTATATCGATCCAAAGTTTTGAAAACTATTAATTATTTGATAGTAACATGTTTTAAATAGCTCTGATGATTACTACATGCGTAAACATCACCATATAGTCCAAACAATTATTCCAGTCATAGACTGATGACTCATAGTTCTGCGTACTCTTGTATGAGAGCGAAAAGTCTCATAGTTTTTAAAGTTCTATCTTGTCGTCTTTCAATTGAGATTTATGGCATTTGACTACTGTAAGGATAGTTCTCTATACTATGTAAATCATAGTAGAATTTATTTCATACAATGAGACAAAGTTAAATGGCTTGTTTCTTTCTATCGAAAAATAAGGATATAAAGTATTCAAAAAATGATGAACAAGTTACCTTTGATGACATTTTTCACCCATTGATCCTGTGGGAGATACGGCTACTGTTAATGGATTTGTTGATGCTGAATAAGTGGATTGAAAAGATTTGACTGAACCTTTACTTGTTTGACGTGAATGACCCGGATAATATTTTTGTGTTTGAGATAGTTGTGTTTGAATCATCGAAACATCAGTAGGATCATTAACATCTAAAATAGTTAAAATATTTAACATCTTTATGACTTAAATACGGAAAAATTCAAATTTAATTCATGTTGTTCGATCACTGTTTAAAATATACCTATTTCTGAATCAATCTGACTGTTGAAAATATTTGTATCGTTTTTCGGTTGAATTTGTCTGATATAAGGTGGATCTGTATAGGGCCTAAAATGAAATGAATAAATGAATAGAAACAATTTTGTTTTTTTTGAGCCTTATCAATGTTTTTATTACCTTCTAAATAGTGGATCGGTGATAGTTTCATTTTCTTTCATTGTACAACTAATTCTAATTTCCAGATAAGCATTGGCTGGATTATTCTTTTGTGATTCATACGCATACAATAGACACGCTTTTAATTCTTTACCACAGCCAGCGTATGATGCCAAATCTAAATCATAATAACCAATTTTCTCATAACCTTTGCCTATTCGACTCTCCTAAATAAGGTACAAATTCAATGATAAATTAAAGTAGAGAAAATCTAATTCAAATTACAAATAGAAGATCAACACGTCTGAATAAAAGATGAGATAAACACACTGGTTAGAAGTAAACTTTTATTAAGTTATTCACGGACTGTTAAGTAAAGTAATGCCTGACTTCAAGTATTAATCAAATAATCATAGAACGCTCACAAAAAAACATTTCATAGAACAAGATTCTGCTCTTTCTAAAACAAACAAAGACAACACGTTCAACTCATTCAACTCTCAACTTTAATGACAATTAACACTAATAGATCGACTATCTTCAGAGTCACCCATGAAACAATTTTCTACTTTACACTTCAATAATTCGATGTCTATCTTCCTCTATTTCTCGAACATTAAATTAAATTTTATTCTTTAAAACTCACTTTTCTAATTGAGATTCTACACATACAGGAATCTAATGCCAGCGTATCGGTTCTTGCATACATTTTACATGAAAAACGATTGGATTTATCTATTTCAACTTTATTTTCATTAATCTCATATCGTCTAAACAAAAAAAAAAGAAATCAACAACACAATAAAATCAAAGAAAAATTTATTCAAAAAAAGAAAAACGTAACGAATTACTAAACTTGAATCTCACAACGACAAAAATCGCACGATACGTCCACTTTTAAGAATCAAGATGAGCTATGGAAATGAAGAAGAATACCTCGCCGTGCGGTTATGCATTTGAGATTTTTTCTTAAGCTAATCATATTCGAAAATGACCTTCTTAACTAATGTTTTAACTAATCATCCGTATAGCTGTGAATAGAAGGCCAGCTTGATTCCAATTTTTATTGTCCAATTGTTGAAGCTACTCCTACACACTACCTGGTCAAGTTTCAGTTTTTTAGCAAGCTAGAAGAGCTATGTCAGCCCGTTATCATCACAGGCACACCTTAACAGACAACTTGCCCGTTCGGGTAAGATCTGATCTCAAGAATCATCAGTTGTCTAATGGGTGGGAAGTATTCATTCTACTCCTCGTGCACTGATTATTCACCGTAAGTTATGGGTTCAATCTTCTTTCTCTTTTGTGACAAAGACGAATAGCAAACATAGCTGAATTTATTGCAATTTATCTTGCCCGATTTGACAGTAATGCCCATTCGGATAATGTATCTTGTCCAACCAGGCAATCTTTTGTCCTTGCCTGATCGGGAAATATTGTTCGAACGGGCAAGTTTGCCCGATCAAGCAAGGTAGTCCTAAGGCAGATATAGTTAGGCATGCACCAGTTATATAACTGGTATTAGGGCATCCAGGAAAATTGTTATAACGCAATTATTAAGGATCGCTCAGACTTGCAGAATATCTCATTTTGTAGACAAATATTTGTTGTACGTATTTGTTGAAACAAAAAAAGTTAAAGTTAATTGTGACAAAAATATGAGCAATTCTTAAATGCCGTAACTGTACATGGTAACTGGTTACCAGTAACATAACTGTTCATGCCTCTTCGGTAATTCGTTAACAACGCTTCTCTCTTCCAAACCTTTAATTTTATCTTCCATACAAATGTATAGAACAAACATTTGTCTACAAAATGAGACGCTCTGCAAGTATGAGCGATTATTAATAACCGCGTTATAACAATTTTGCTTGATACACCAAAAAACAGTCAGAAATAACTAGTCCGTAACTACATACCTAGATATACTTGGTCAGTTTTCTGACTATACAAGAAAGCACCGAATCACCATAGGCAAACTCTATTTGATGCAGTTTTTGCCGCTCTTATCACGTGGGATAAGTGTCTACACGCTCTATTGCTTTGATTTATGCGCTAATCCGTTGAAAGAAAAAGTATAGACATCTTGTCAAAACGGCTAAGATACGTCTTGCCCGATCGAACCATATTTCCTGTTCGGGCAATACATCTTTCCGAAACGGGTAATCTTACTTGATCGGGCCAGAAAGCGTGACAACAGACTGTATGTTGACCGTAATAACGTTAAATGTCAATAAAAGGCAAACTACAGGTTCCTATCAAGAGGAAAACGAAACAAAATTCTTCTTGAAGCACATACTCATCGCATGTGTAAGTGTGATTGCCACCATTTAATAATCGAATTTTAAAAAAAAATTTTCCACCGTTATATGGCATTGAGACAACACGAATTATTTCTAATTCAACCTAGATGATAAAGATAGAATGAATAATAAACAATTTCATCTGAATAGATGACTGACCAAGTAGAGATATTTTTTTAAATTTAATAGAAAATTAACTTACATTGAATAGAAAACGTTTTTTCTTTTGAAATGATAAGAAATTAGACCAATGATCATCAGGTTTTTCATCACCATCCATTGTTTTCTAAGAATATTCACAATTATTTACATAAATGTACACACGCAAATTGGAAGACCTAAAATGAAACAGAGATTCATGTACAAAAAAACAAATTATACCTTTCACATGTGATATCAATTATTACTAAAGCATAATCGAACAGATGATCAGGTTTATTAAACACCATAACCTATGGTTTATTATGTGATCTGGATTGTTATCTACGTTTGCATAGAACAAAAATATGGATACTGGGATAACACATAGATGGTGGAGTTTGTAAGATTCAAACATAATGTGGAATTGGTCTGAAGACAATGAGTCTACCAGCGAAATATGCGAACATTTGATTTTTTCCATCTAAAGTACTTCTTTTTGCTTAGAAATGATTGTTTATCCCTGAGAGGATAATCTTCAGTCAAAAAAAAAAATTCTTGTTTTTTTCTACGAAAATTCCTGAGATGGAGGGGGCCCTTCGCCCGAAATTTTTCGAAAAAGTTTTTTTTATATATCCTTCGATGCACTTTTTGATGCAGATTCCAAATATGACCTTATTGTTTTCCAAGCTGTTCCTGGGCTGAAAAGTTGGATTTTTCCTGAAAAACTACGGACTTTTGAGAAACCTGCTCTGCGGTCTGGAGACGGTTGCGCTAATTTGTGCTATGTGCATCTAAAAAGTGATAATCTCACAAAAATTTGACAAATTTTATGTCAAGTTCGATGAGTGTTAAAAAGTGCGTGCTCATTACACTACACTACAGTAGTGATCAAAATTATGGAATCACTGTATTTTGAAATTTTTCGATGAAGCCGAGCAGCTAGGTCAAATATGAATTGTGATTTTCATAGCCCTTGTAGTTTTCTATCAGATGAAGTTTATATTCAAATTTCAGAAAAAAGATTTTGAAGAAAGTTTTTAGAAAATCGTTCCAATGAAACTCGAAGTCCTGGAGGATTTTGTTAAAAAGCTTTTCAATACAGCCATCTAAAAAAGAGCATAAAATTCTGAATGAAATAAGGGATCGCTCAGCTCTCCACAATCTTTAGTTGCAAAGTTGCAGGCATCAGAAATAACGAAGAAAAAAATCGACTAAAAAACCAAGAAGAAGCACATTTCTTTGGATTTTCTGACGCCTCCAACTTTGCAACTAAAGATTGTAGAGAGCTGAGCGATTCTTTATTTCATTCAGAATTTTATGCTCTTTTTTTAGATGGCTGTATTGAAAATCCTCCAGAACTTAGATTTCCGCTGGAGCGATTTTCTAAAAAACTTTCTTCAAAATCCTTATTTCTGAAATTTTGACACATACCACATCTGTTAGAAAACTTCAAGGGCTATGGAAATCACTATTCAGATTTGACCTAGCTGCTCGGCTTCATCGAAAAATTTCAAAAATACAGTGATTTCATAATTTTGGCCACCACTGTATACGAAAAATCACATATACATACACCAACTTCTAAGCCGGAATCGAAAATTTTTTCCACTAACAGATAGCTTAAGGTATCCCGATTCAGAGTTTCTATTATTTTTGTTTTGAAATTCATTCACGTTAATAGTATACGATACTTATGTAAAGTACTGTGTTTTACAGGCTGATTTTTTCTTCTCAACAACCATGGACATATTCAAACAGGAAACAATTAAAATCATTTTCTTCTAGCTATGAATAGTATAAACAAATCTTTTAAAAATCTTTCTTACTTATTAATCAACTAATTTCTTCTTCAGTCGATCATTAGGATTAATTCTCAATTATTGGCTTAACTCATCATCGACATTGCTATACAAAAGAAGAGAGTGAATGTATCTAAAAATAGCAGAAAATAATAGTCAAATCTTACAAAACGACGAAAACATCCTTATCATCAGAAACACGTGCAGTCATTCTTTCATTTAGATGTATACTGGTCAACTTGTTTCTATTCAAAGAATGCCATTACTTTTTGTTTTCTTTGTTTCGTATCATAACATTTTTGAAACTCCTTCACTTTTCATCAATGTAAACGAGTAGATGAAGAAAAAATTAAGGTCAACGACGACAAAAAAAAATGTTTTAAAAAGAATGCATACCAAAAAAAAATCAGAAAACGTTAATGTTGAACATAAAACTGAAACAAAAGGCGACATATCCGTATTTTTCACACAGATTTTGAGTAGAAAAGCATATAGCACTAATAAAGAGATCAATATGATATAACAATCTACATCTATTTAGATTGTTATGAGTGAGAGATTAAACGGAATAGAATACGATAATTAAACCGATAAAATTTCTCGCTGCACATTGTTAGAGTAAAAAGTACCATTGATTAATCATGACTTTTTTTTTTTTACAAATTCCAACCTTGACTTTCTTCATCTAATCCAAAAATGAACTCATTAAAGCTTTAACTTCTTGTCGTAAAATATCTCTGACCTTGATTTATGTGCCCATTTATCCTTGAATGGACTTTTACATTTTATAACGTGTTAAAATGACAAATGTTTTGCTGTATACTTAAGATTGTGTCATATTTGTGTCATTATGCAAATGGAGACTGCAGGAGAGAGAGAGAGAGAAAAAACGAAAATCAAACTCACACCAGACCACTTAACGTAGGAAACATTATGCTGTTTCGAAGTGAGTAGAAACGGTCTTGAGTAGTACTGAATAAAAAGAAGAGTGAACTATCGAAATTCGGTCATTGCTAAATATTCTTTTTATTGATGAATCGATATTGTGAGTAGGCATGCACCGAGTAATTGACTAAGGATTTTATATTTTTTCCAAAACCTGGCGTTTCGTAAATTGCTTCATTAAAAATTTTCTGACTCGGTAGAATATAGAGCAAACATTTCTCTAAAACAGATGAGAGACTGGACATCTTTGTATCATTTGTTTGAGACTTTGGCAGCGATGCCTCCATAAGGGACTAACCGAGTACTCGATACTCGATTATGTGTTCTTGAGGTATCGCTGCCGAAATCTCAAACAAATGATACAGAGATGTCCAGTCTCTCATCTGTTTTAGAGAAATGTTTTCTATATTCTTACCGAGTCAGAAAATTTTTAATGAAGCAATTTACGAAACGCCAGGTTTTTGGAAAAAATATAAAATCCTTAGTCAATTACTCGATGCATGGTTAATCGTGAGTGATAGGAATGTCAGTTTATTGCATGAACGTATCTGAGAGATCTAACATTATATTCCACCGTTCGCTCAAATAGAGCAAAAACTGGCTCTGCTAAGAGTTACAGAGTAAACGAATAGTTTCAGAATAATCTGCTGTAACAAATTGGGCATTTATAAAATACGTTAGCATCTATTAACATCTGATACAGTCAACAGTTAGAGTCTGTTGAGTAGTTTATACTAATATCAAATAATATTCAGATAAATATTTGTGAACAGCCGAAAACACCAGAAGCTAAAAAGATGTCGGCATCTGCAATTTAATAATTTAATGAAAAGTTCGGAGTCGGGGAGCGTGTACCTGATATCATTTTAGAGTGTTAGTGACTAGGTTTCGACTGTTATGATCTGTGGTCACACGACTATGACTTATTCAATCAAAACTGGAGTGCGATTCCTACTGAAATCAAAAAGAAAAGGTCCTCATTTTTACAAAATTTTCCTACTTCATATTTTAGCTGACGTTAAAAGTTTTAGAAATATATATATTCAAAGCTCTGCAATCCGAAGTCGTTACTGATGGTTTTCTAACATCCAGTCTTACATAAGTAAAAACTAGATAATGGAAGGATTTCAGAGCGTGTAGACCATTCCAACATTTTATATGGCCTAACAGTACCTTGAATCCGAAATTATAAGAGAAATTCTTCTATTACACGAGTACTACAACAACTTTTAGAAGTCAAGTCTGGTACAACAACGAACAGTTTTTGAAAAATATTGATATCTCAAACTGGGAACTATCGTCAGATTAAAATTCTCCCCCACCATATTCGATTTTAAAAATAAATAATAATTTTGGATATTCACCAAAAAGTTACTGTTAAACGTTCTTTTTTTAATTTGCGTCAACTTAATATATCTATTTAATCAGAAGTATGTCATATATGACTTTGACTTCTAGATTTCATATACTTAATTTTAGAAGTGACTAACTTAAATGATTACTTTCTCAGGTATCTTACTAGGATACTCAGACTGTACATTTATTTCTCTTGCTGACTAATTTATTTTTTATCATTTTGTACAGGTGTAGGTGTAGATGTATACAATCTGAGAGTGGGGGAAATACAATGGAAATATTGTTTTTATTTCTGTTCTCTATTAAATATGATGACATTCAATAAACAAAACAAATCAATAACTCCCTTTTCTTTGATCAGATCTGTTTGACATCTAAATAGGTGCGATATTAAAGAAATCAAAACAATATACTTATTCATAATAATAACAAGTATCTAACGTATGTAAAAGAAAAATCGATAGCAAAAACACTCGTCTTGTGATTAAAGTTAAAAAACCAAAGAAATATAGTTTATATATGAACGAAATATTATCTTTTAACAAAAATGACTGATCTCTACTCATTGATAGTGAGGAGAAACTATCAAATATATTTGATATTCTCTATAAAAATAATTTTGTTCCTAACGAAAACTTTTTCTGCTTGAAGTTTCGAATTCGTTTCAAATGTAGAAATCTTTTGGTCTACAAAACCTAAAATGGTTTAGCTAAAATCTATGAAACCTCCCATCGTTCTACAATGATCTACTAAACTTTAAATAGTTTCGTCAATTTATGCGAAACCTTAACATGGTTTCGTTCAAAACTGCAAAAGGTTTTCTACAAAACTCATTGGATTGCGAATCCGAGCCCCTTTCGTACGGAACCGTTTGCAGTTTTGAATGAAACCATGTTAAGGTTTCGCATAAATTGACGAAACTATTTA